CACAGTCGAAATCCACGTATAACTAAGTTGCTCCTCCGCACACTCGGATTCCCAACCACCAGGCGACCCTCGAACAACGCAGGTTTGAATTGCGTGGGCCAATGAAAACAACCCACGTGTAAGTGGACACACACAATCCAAAACCTGCATTGTTTAAGGCCAACTGGCATTTAAGAAGGGCAGCCCTGATGTTCTGGAAATAGAGGCTAACAGTCACTGTCAAATCCTGCTTAAGCAGAACATAGACGTACACTGTGATCTGGGAAACCTTTGCTTCCCAGCTGCTCCGTCCGGCATCGAAAGGAACCCCCTGGAACAGGAAGCAGCTCTTTCCCCCACGGTGACCGGGAGGCGGTCGTCTAACCTCCACTGTACACACCAGGGGACTCGGCCGCGGAGAGCCGAGGCGGGCTCTCTGCTCCCCGGGGCCTGTGGCCTGTGACCTTCCTGCCCTGCGCCGCAGGCTTCTGGATGAAGACGTCTTGTCGCCAGGACGGAGACGGACAGACAGCAGCAGTGTCATGGCCTCCTGGAAGACAGCGTGTGAGCATCCGAGGCCACGTCAGGAACGGGTGGGCCTCTGTCTGGCCACGCTCGCTCCCTTTGTCCGAGTATTTTTAAGTCCTGGGACCCAGTGGTATTTACAAACAATAAGGTCTTTCTGTATGGAACTGACTTTCCATGCAAAGTGACAATGTAAGATTTAAAAAAATTAGACGTTCAGCCTAGACTTGATTCAGATCAAAACCCTTATCTGCTGCTTGCAGCTTTAAGAGATTTTTTTGGCGCTGGGAGGCCGTTCCTGTGACCTAAGGGTCCAGCTGTAGGAGGGAGCTAACCCCCGAGCCTTGCTGTGACCATCAGGAGTCCGAACGCTTTCTGTTCGCTGCTCTGTCTGCTGGCAGAACTCCCACTTTTCCTCGCCTTTCCGTTCCACCCTTCCCTCTCCCCGCTCTAACTGGAATCACAAAGAGGATGCGAGGGCAGGGGGGAAAGAGAAGGCCTGGGGGAAGGGGCTCCCTCTCATGCTTTCCCGAGGGGGAGGAGAGGGAGCAACAGAAGGAATCCTAATCCCTGGAAAACGGGAACAGTCCCATGTCGGACAGACCAGGGGGGAGGGACCATGTATGATGAGGATGCTTCTCCGGTCCCTGTCCCCCAGCATGTAGTGGCCAAGAGGAGTCACAGAAACCCGAGCTTTGGGGGGCCCATCTCCTGTGAGGACAGCTCCCCGATACAGAGTTCACTCAGCCCAGAAGTGCTGAGATGCTGGAATGAGCGCGCAGCCGAGGGAGTGTGGGTGCAGCACGAGCCTGGTTACCCGGCAGACACCGGCAAGTACACATGCACACTTCACACAACTCACCCAGAGACCTCCCTTCCCTCCTGTTTGTCCACAGACACTCGGATGTTCCAAAGGACGCCGGGAAGGAAGGCCCGAGCTATTTTTATCTGCCCATTGGTTCTCACTCTCCTGCCTCCTCAGTCCACAGGGACACACAACTCTGGGAGACGGAGGGATCAGTGCTCCTTTGTTGTCGCTTAGAGAAAGAGGGTCAGAAAATGCAAAAATAGAGCCCTGTGCTGAGCACAGGTCAACAGATCTGCTCCCTAAAAACCAAATACGTAACTGGACAAAATTGTCCCCCCAAAACCAAGTCAGGGCTCTGGAAACCACCGAGAGGCAAATGAACTGCGATCCCGATTCCTGTAGGGTCAGTGGGCGTCGGCGGCCATTCCTGAGGCTGCGCTCTTCGCCTTTCTTCTTTTCATTAAAAACAACATTGTCTGAAGCCATAACTATAACCCAGGACTATGGGGCTTATCACACAAACAAACCTAATATAGGTAACAATAATCGCACAAAAGAGGAAGGAAATGAACCTACATTAGAGCACATTTGCTCTACTTTACCAAAGTAAGTCAGAAAAACCTTAAGTAAACTGTGATTCTGATCCCACTCGTCTCCACTAAGAAATACACAATCTTGCAATGGCCAGTTCGGCTCAGTGGGTAGAACGTCAGCCCAAAGGCCAGGGGTTCGATTCTGGTCAAGGGCACGTACCTCAGTTGCAGGCTCAATCCCTGGCCCCTGTTGGGGTGCATGCGGGAGGCAACCAATCGATCTCACATTGATGTTTCTCTCTGTCTCCCCACCTCCCTTCAACTCTCTCTAAAAAAATCAACAGAAAAATATCCTCGGGTGAGGATTAACACAAAAAAAAAAAGGAAAAGAAAAGAAATACTAAATCTTTTCTTTTCTCAGCCCAAGCACTGATGAGTAAATCTCTCAATAAAACTGTATATTCTTAATGCCTATTTGAGATTAAATTACCTCAGACGGTACTAAAAACTTCTGTTCATTTATTAAAACTATTTTGTACTAGATTAAGTGCTTTTATTGTCCTTTGTATTAACTAATCCATTTCTAGGTCTGGCATTTTATCAGAAAACAATGATACTTTTCCTCTAAAAGGAAAGCTCTCTTAAATTAACGTTTAAAGGCTATAAGGTAAGTTGTTAAATATGAAATTTAGAACAAAAAAAGTTTACTGAAAGTATACACTGTTTTCTTCTGTTACCTAGTTACTCTCGCATGAACGATCTCGTATTCAATCCCTGAAGAAGCGGCTAACAGAACTGCAAGTAGCTGCCTGTGGAAGCAGAACTTACAAAGGCGAAGGAGCAGGGAAGTGGGCTGCCACTTTCCTCTAAAAGTGCAATCACTAGAGTTAACTGCATATTTAAATTGAAGTTCAATTTTAAAACAGAATTGTGTGTAAACTGAGGTACTGATTTTAAAATAAAGGGAAGACCTAACCCTTAAAGCGACAGACTGCAGGCTGTTATGCGATGCGTGCACTTGTGAGAAAGCCTTGAGGGAGTCACTGATCCTGGTGGGGGTCGCCCACATCTGTGAACCTGACAGTGAGCCAGGACGCGGGGCCTCGACAGGAGCGTCTTCGTGTCTGAAGCAGCAGTGAGCCGTAAGTGGCAGGGCACAATTTAAGAGAAAAATGTATTTGTTAGATAAAAGGCCAACTCACAGGGCTTGTTTTGTAATGGACGGTTAATGAAATTACAGTGATTAGTGCAATTATTTCAGGATGACTCTGAGGAGAGCTAAAGGAGACGATCGGGTATTAGGGAATCTATCTCCGTCGATTAGACAGCATGCGTGGCCCGGCACTGATGATGCATGTGGGCCTGAGAGAACAGTCCGTGCTAATCGTCACGTAGCAGCCCCTGCCTAGCGAGCAGCCGTGTCACAGCCGGCCCCTTCCTGGAGGCCGGGCAGGCAGAGCCCACAGGGCTGGATCCAAGCTGCTCGCTCCAGGGGGTGGGCACGCGGGCCCACATTCACCGCTCGATGAGGACAGGGCTCTGGCATTTTGACCAAAGTAAGATCAGATAGACCCTTCATTTAAAAAGGTTATGCGTTTAGAACACCCCATTTTAACTCAGAGCCCTTTAAATGAAAGAACCAGCTCCTGTCTACGTTTAAACAGCAAGAACACGTATCTGTCTCACAGGAAACAAAAGCCAGACAAACAAAAAAACCATCCCTACGTCATTACAGAAGTGATCATAGGACGCAATGAAGGGGAGGGGGCTGGGTTTGTAGCATAAGACTGTCTAGTGTACGAAAATGTCCTCCTTTATATATGTTAACTACTCTGCTTCACATTGTGTTTCCTCCTGCAAAGTATGTACCCAGTAGAGGAAAAAAAAGTTATTTATTGACGTTTTTAAGTAAATGGCTTATGTGTATTTTTTAAACCTAACAGCATTTACCTTAAAATCACAGACTCCGAGAATTCAAGTAGGAAGGAACCAAGATTAGTTAAATCACTGACTTAGTGCTTGAGTATCTTAATCAACTTGTGGACTTAACGATCGAATCCCCGTGATGGCTGGGCAGGTAGACACAGCAGAGCGGAGCTGCTGGGCACACAGCAATTCCGTGTCTGCTTTTCAGTGCCCGCCACACTGTGCTCTGCGGCCACGGCCGTGCCCAGGGTTCCGACGGCCCCACAGCCTTGCAGCACCACTCGTCTCTTTTCCAGCGAATGGACGCGGAGACACTGAGACCGTGGCAAGTCCTCGCTGACGACTCTGACTTCCTGTGCGTTCAAAGTCCACTGCAATTCCCGTGGCTCTTCAATCCTCAGTGGACCGAAGACACGGCCTGAAGCCATTACACTTGTCCAAAGGGACTCTGGCAGGTCTGTCTGCTCCTCCATCACTCCCTTCCCTCTTCTGCACAAACAGTGTCAGAAAATGCTATTGCTCGTTCTCTCATGTCATTTGGGTGAGATGAGGGCTGATGTGATGAGACCAGGACTGCACAGAGCTGAGAGCCCTTCTTGTGTTGTATTTCTCTGTGGTTGCACCCAAATATGAAGCAGCAATTGGGAGCTCTGCTGCAGGCGAGGAAGAGGCTCTGTAACTGAAAGCATGTGTGCGGGCACTGGCGTCTACACTGCACTTCTCGGCAGCCTCGTGGGTACAGTTGAGAGGTTTCCATTGTGTGTAGATGAGGATTTCCTCTCCAAACACCATCTCTAACATCACTTAAAATATCGGGAAGGGGGATGGAGAGACAGACAGACACCAACGGGGAGGAGAGGGCAGGCTACGAAGATAATCCGGATGCGAAGTGATTCGGGCACAAAGACAACCAAGCAGGAAGGGAAAATTCTATGAAAAGCAACTTAGCCAGAAGAAGACTTCAAACATCACCATTAAACATTAATTGAATTAATTTTTACTCAGTCCAGATGAGAACTCAACCACAGCACTCACCAGGACTGAGCAGCCCTGTCACAGCTGATGGAGCGCTGCAAGGCCTGGCAGCGCTGGAAGGAAGGACCTTACGTAAGGACCCCCCTGAATTCACGACAGGGCTCGGCATGTCTCATGGGAGACGCGCCCCGAGCTGCGACACCCCAGCACTTGCTCCGGGACCTGCTCACGGGGGACAGAAAGCCCGCGGTTACCTGGTAGCCCTCGGTCTTCTTCTGACACCACTTCAGCAAGGCGTTCCTCTTCGAGCCTCCGTACTCTCTCGCCAGTGCTGAGAGGGGGTCCTTCCTTTCTTCCCTGGGACGTGAAAATGAGAAACCCACAGTTGAGCATCATCATAAAGCAGAAACCCAACGAGCAGGAGAGACCAGTGTTGGTCTGGCTCTTGAGCAGGGTAAATCCACACGCTAAGGCACCCAAAGGCAAGACACATGTTTTCATTCATTTCATTTTACCTGTCGGTGCTCACAGGGGCCCACAGCCCACCCTGGTCCGCTCTCTGCTTCCCTGTGCCCATCCCCTCCGTGTGCCACACCACCGCCCTTCTTCATCTTTTTGTACATTCACTCGAGGCGCTGGCTTTGACAATAAAGCCTGCCCTCCCTCCCCACCACTCAAATTCCACTTTTCTAGTCTCCCAAACCTCCACCCGCAACCCAGTATTTAAATTTCACAATACTAACTGGTGTTCAACCATTCTCTAATTACAAACTCCAAAACAGAAAAACCAGCTGCTTGGGAAAGAAACTGTTTTACTTTTTTTTTTTAAAATATATTTTTATTAATTTCAGAGAGGAAGGCAGAGGGAGACAGAGAAACATCAATGATGAGAATCATTGATCGGCTGCCTCCTGCACGCCCCCTACTGGGGATCGAGCCCGCAACCTGGGATGTGTCCTTCACTGGAATAGAACCTGGGACCCTTCAGTTCCCAGGCCGATGCTCTATCCACTGAGCTAAACCAGCTAGGGCTAGCGCATGTTTTGCTTTTTACTTCTAGACCATTTTACCCAATTCTGAGCACAGAAGAGGAGATCAGAAAATACTTCCTAACACTCAGAGAAAAAAATCTGTGCCTGAGTGCATTACTTTATAACTTGATCATTTCCTCTCAAGGGGCCAGGAGAGGGATGAAACGCATCAGCTGAGCTGCTCTCTACCTGATCCGGCTGCGGGTGGTGGGGGTCACGGACGCCGTGGGGGACGAGGAGAGGGAGAGCTGTGGGGACGTGGTGCCCATGGCCATGAGAGAGGCTGGCGACGCTCCCTCGGGTGCGGAGATGTCTCGCTTCATCTCTTCACTGCTTCGTCGAGACACTGAAAAAAGACATTAAGCATTTTAGAGCAAAAACATCTTGAATGGAGTTCTTGAGACATTTTCTCCAACAGGTTCCGAGAGCAGAAATCACTGTACAGGCGGAAGAAGTACAATTTTCCCTATCTTACTGATAAGTTGAAAGAATTTCCCTTTTCATTTAAAAAGCTATAAAAAATGTACAGTAGTTGAGATATGCATTAACCCTCCTATGCCCTGGGGGTAGGCAGTGTGTCTTACCCGCCCTGTGACCCTCAGTTCTCAGCCGGGCACAGTAAGTACTCTGGGAACGTTCGTGTAATCACAGATGCCACTAAAAACCAAAGGCTAATAAACGCAGTACTTGACAACTACTTATTCCCCAAGAAAACCAACATGATCCTCCTGAAATTACCCCAAAACACTGTGAAAGGGACAGAAAAGAGAAACACTTCATTCTGGGTCAGACCATGTTTTAAAAACCATAAATCAACAAGACAGAAAATCAAAAGGTGTCAAGTCAGCGACTGAAAAATAAAAGTAATCAGAAAAGTCCTACTTTGAAAGTTGGGCAGAGTAAGACAGGGTATCTCGTTAGAATGATAGAAAGTTCTGGGAACTGTTGGAAGTACCACTTCAGCCGCTGATAGCAGAGCCACATTAAAGTGGCTTTTTAGCGAGAATGCGCTGAGTACAAGCAGGTGCTCACAACGCAGACGAATTCTCTGACCTCAGAAGACGCTGGAGATGAGGGGCCCATCCACTGCGTCCCGGGGCTGGCTGCAGCGATGCTATACAGCAACAGCCCCCCGGGTCAGGGAAACCGCTCCCCTCTTCCTGGTTAAAGTGTTCTCGACAATTTCAGGATGACCACAAGCAGATAGAACACTGGCTGCCTTAGAAAAGCAATGCCGGATGCTTTCTCCTATTACAGGATCTATTAGAGTAACACCGCACTTACATATTCTGGCACGATTTTATAATTATTATTGTCTTTTCTTTTAATGTCAGATCAAACCCATAACCCTCAGTGAGGGGGCCAATGCTCTAACCACTGAGCAAATGGGCCAGGGCTAAAAAATACTTTTTAAATGAACGGAACTATTTAGTTTAGTTGTGGTGTGTGTGTTTTAATCAGGGCCATATGATTTCTATAGAATCTGAGAGCTACAACAGAGGATTCAGAGTGAAAAATAATCAACCCGAGAGCTAAAAAGGCGAGGAAAGTTAACTAAGTCTAAGGAGAAAGCACTCAGCACCATCACTAAAACTTCCGGAAGAGTCTCTCTACAGGACGTTTCAAACAGAAGTCCTTACCCGAGATGGTCTTGGCACTGTCCATGGCAGGCACTCTGGGCAGGGACGCGGGCCGGCTGGTGGAAGATGTCCTTAGCAGGTGCTCTGCACAAAGTGGGAGGTCACAATAAAGACACTGTCACCGGACGCCGAAGTAACCAAGGTGGCAGGAAGGTGAGTTACGCCTCTCACCCTTCTCCCCCAACCCAGGGCGCGTCCACGATGCCCCCTACAAAGCCACTTCCACAGGCAGGGACCGTGGGAAAGCATTTCATTCAGTGCTTTATTTCTAGGGATGACACATCAGACAGATGAAAATGCTTCTAAATCACCAACTGCCACTTCCCTCTCTGATGCAATTCAACATTCAAAGATCCCCTATGGCCTCGAGGTCTAAAACAGCACAAACTACACCACAGCCTGGCCTTGTGCCCACCAACAGTTGGTGAGAAAGCCATTCATCCATAAGCAGACAAGTCAGGAGGGAGCTGGTCAGACACTAGAATGACGGCGCTCTCACACACAGGGAGGAGCCGGTCCTGACCTCTGGGGGGCACCTGGAAAGCAGACAAGGCAGCAGGAAAGGGGCGTGAAGGGAGGATGAGGCTGAGGCTGGGGGAGCCTCCAGGGCCTGGCATGTGGACTTCAGTCTGAGGGCAACAAGGCAGCAGCGGGCACTTCTGAACACCCAGGAAGGCCACAATCAGATTCCGCAGACGAGCTGGCTTGCGGCCTCGCCTTGCTCTGCTCCTCCCCTGCTTGTTGGACACAAGCTGTGCAGGGAGTGTCTGGAGCCCCTGGAACCTGGCGCAAGCTGTTCCCTGCAGGGCTCCCCTCCCCCCTCCTGAGCGTGGCTGCCTTTGTCCTGCAGGGCTTCTCAGGACCTGCCCCCGGTAGTGGGAGCCCCCAAACAGACCAGCACCCCCCCCACCGAGGGCTACACGCCCCACCAGGCTGTGGCCAGGCCAGGCCCACAAGCACAAGGGCGGACGAGATGTGTTCCGCCTGGTCGGGGTGGGTTAGGACGTGTGACTAGGAAGAGGGAAAACACCACCTTCATGAAGACTATAGTCTCAGTGACCAGCAAAGCCCTACAGCAAACATTCCTTTAAAAAGGGAAACGGTAAGATTTACCACAAGAAAAGGTCACTCAAACCTCTTTGTAAGAATTGACAACTTAACAAACACTCCCTCTCCTAATATCATGATGTCAAAAGTAATGCATACGACGTTATCTTTCAAGGCCAGCACATCTTTTCTCTTAATATTTATTTTCTAAGCAGGAGGCACATCTGGCTGAAATTATAAACTACCTGGAGGGAAAGGATAAACTTCGTTTTTAAAAATATATATTTTTATTGATTTCAGAGAGGAAGGGAGAGGGAGAGAGAGAGGAACACCAATGGTGAGAGTATCATGGATCGGCTGCTTCCTGCACACCCCACACCGGGGATGGAGCCCACAACCCAGGCATGTGCCCTGACCGGGAATCGAGCTGTGACCTCCTGGTTCCTAGGTCGATGCTCACCCACTGAGCCACGCCGCCGGGGAACTGACTTTCTTAGTGAAGACAGGACTGACACAGCCTCGAGCAGTCACACCTTCCTTATCATGGACACACATCGCCTGTGCAAAGGCCTACAGGCAGCACCCTGGGAGCCTGAGCCCTGAGGGCAGCTGGCACCCTCCTCACAGGAAGAGCGCTGTTATGCACCAAGTCTGACCGACAAGACGGGGTCAGCAGCACACGGAAGCAGTGGGAAGCACAAAGCAACCTTTTTTTCTTTAATTAAATTTTCCATGTCACAGTTACAAAACTGCTTTCCCTAAAATCGTAATCTCCCCAAGCTCAGCAAATGAAGAAAGCGAAAACAAAGGCTAGAGACCATGACGCAAAGCTAGTGTGTCAGCTGAGCCAGGTCCTTGTCGTGCCCACAGGGACAGTGTTCCCAAGTGCCGTGTGTCTTCCTCCTTCCACGCACACTGCAGGCACACCCGGAAACGAAGCTCACGGAGCGTGCGGCCTGGCTGTCTTTTCTCACTGCATGTCTAAGGGCCCACGTCTGCCTCAACTCGACAGACACTTCTGGAAATGCGCTACACAGGACTCGTTTCCTGGCCCCGTAGCCTCAACGGGTCCTTCCTTTCACAGTCACGGGCGGTGACCTCCCACGGGCACAGCAGTCTGCTGCCACGCCCGGGAGCGTTTTCACGGAGAAGCAGGCGAGTGAGTGCTCAGAGGCACTTGCTACAGTCAGAACCATGTCCCTCTACTGCAGAAGGCGGGCCGGCTCCATCTCATGTCAACTGTCGGTTTATCCCTCCTCAGGGAGTCAGATTCGTGTATTACAGGTGCGTGTGGCAGGCAGGAGCGATTATACTTTACAGTAGGAGCCTGCTGCCACATGGAGCTTTCAGTCCACTCATTAAAGAGAATCATCTGGGTGTCCACTGCTTGGCAGGCACTGGGGTTGGCACAACGGTCAGAGACAGGAAATAGGAGGCAGAAAACTTGCCCTCATGGAACTTGGAGCTTAGAGCAGAAGCTGGACATTTAAAAAATCATTACAAGTGCCCTGGCCAATTTTGCTCAGTGGATAGAACCTGGCCTGCGGACTAAAGGGTCCCAGGTTCAATTCTGGTCAAAGGCACATGTCCGGGTTGCGGGCTTGATCCCCAGTGGGGGCGTGCAGGAGGCAGCCAATCACTGACTCTCTCATCATTGATGTTTCTCTCTCTCTCTCCCTCGCCCTTCCTCTCTGAAATCCATAAAAATATATTTTAAAAATGCAGTATGGGTAAGAGGAGGAGCCCTGACCTCAAGAGGGAGGAGACCTGGTCCTGGCTGGCTCTGCGTGAGGAGCTGTGTGAACACGGGCACGCCCTTCACAGCGCAGAGAAGAGCGGCTGGACCTCATCGTCAGTCTCCCTTTCTCCTTATGAACAGCAGCGAGCACAGTGGAGTAGACTGCCCGGGTCCACTGCTCAGTAACTACGCTAACCTGCATGAAGACGCTTTGTGAAGCCTCATTTTTAGTATCTGTGAAATGGGGATAACAATCCAAACATCACGAAAAACTATGAAAACATAGTGCCCAGCAACAGCAACTCTCTATCACTTCTCATGACGCTATGACAGAGCTGTCTTCCAAGATGCCCTTGTTAATAACTAACCTCCCCATTTGTAATTAAGACATATTATCAGTAAACTTCTGATAAAGATGCATACGAGACTGGCTTCAGTCATGTCAAGAACAAAGAAAATAACACTTTAGTTAGCCAAAAAGGGTCCGAATTACAAAGATAACAACAAAAGTGAAATACTGCAACATATGAGATGTACCTTGAACGGGGATTTCCCCATAGTTTGGTCTCTTATCTGACAGGGCTGTCAGGGGTTTGGATGTAGAAATTGGTCCACTTATGGAATGTCTCTGAAATCATAAGATAAACATGGTTAACGTTAGGTTGAGTCTAGAGCTGGGACTCACACAGAAAACTGCAGAGAGTAAATAGTGATGAATTTGCATAATCCCTTCCAAACTATGTAAGGCTGAAACTAACTCTCTTAGTGAGATTACACACAATACCAGTGGCTCCGGGGGTCAGTGATGTGGGCTCAGGGAGGGGAGGGAAGGTGTAACTGTGAAGGGTCGTAGGAGGGGTCCTTGTGTGATGGAAACATTACGTCTACATATACCAACGTCAGTGTCTTGGTTGTGGCATCATATGATAAATTTACAAGACGGTGTCTTTGAGGAAAACTGGGCATTGGGATCCTTCTGTTTTAAAGTGGTTACTGGTCACATTAAATGCCAGAGAGAGAGACAGAGACAGAGAAGAGACCAACGGAGAGAGGACCCAGCCATCCCTGCTGAGCCGGCCCCGCCCACCCTCTAGCTGGACCAGCTGCTGGCGTGAGCCCAGGCAGAGCAAGCAAAGAACGGCGTGGCCACCCAGAGAAATGTGAACAACAGCCAGGCTGCTGCTTTAAGCACCAAGTTCTGAAATGATCTGCTGTGCAGTAGAGGCTGAGGATGCCAGCTCCATGCTCAGCCTAGAGAAGTAACTCAGTAGAGCGTTACAGCAGGGTCACTGAAGCCACACTGCCCAGGTTCAAATCCCAGCGCTGCCACTTCCTCATCGTCTGACCCTCAGCAAGTTGCCTTCTGGGCCTCAGTTTCCACAGGTGAAAACCAGGGGGAAGAACAGTCCCTCATACCCCACAGAGTTGCTGTGAGGATTAAATGAGGAACAGTGTTGCACATACAGTAAGTGTACAATGGTTGTTCCCTATCACTATCAGAGATTTTCAGATTCATCCAATTGACATTTCCATAACTTATTTCAATTACATCTATTCACCAGCCTTTAGGGGGAAAATCCCACTACACCCTGCGTGCAGCAGTCAGCTGCTCTCCCTCCCCCCACTTGACATGAGTGCGAATGATTCTGAAGAGGAAGGACTAGCTGTCCAGTGCTGAGACCCGGGCCTCTGAGCACAGGCACTGACCTGCATGGGGGAGACAGCGGCCGCAGGCGGCGTTTTCATAGGACTTGGGCTCAGCGGGGTTCGAGGAATTGCGGCTGCATTAGGGTTTGGTACTAGAAAAACAAACAAAGAAACAAGTGCATGAGAAATGCCTCACGGTAAGTGGAAGCTTTTGTGACTGGTCTCCCCTGAGGCTCCCCGGGAGGCTGTCCAGGCTGATGCCACCTCCGCTGAACACAGAAGCTGAGGGCCAAGATTTGGTGTTGGACGTGAGAAGTCTAGGAACCACCCCCATGCCAGTGCCCAGTCGGCGTGTGAGGACACAGGTCTGAAACAGCGAAGAGGAAGGGCAAGGGCTGAAGTCCTGAGGCAGCTCTGAGGCACAGAGAAGGCGCTCAGTCACAGGCCTGTGTGAAGACACAGCTCTGCAGGGGGCCAGGCACGAGTCTCAGACCAAGATCTCTGAAGCTGAAGCTTCCCCAAACCTCCTGTTAAAAAACACCCTTTAGTGAGACTCAGTGATTCTCTGTGAAATCTGACGAGACTCAGAGCGTAAGGCAATAAAGAACACCGAACTAGACCGGAGAGCACGTGGTAAGTGACATGCCTGCCTGCTCGGCACAACGGGTAAGAACTTACCTTGAGACGCGCTGTCGAAGGACTTGATGAGGGTTTTCACCGTGGGGGTCGGCTCGGAGGAAGTCGACGATCTTCTACTCAGCCCCATCCCTTGCCTCAAGGCCGCCAAGTCTCTCTCAACAGCATTCATGTAGTTATACACCCGGCCTCGCTCCTCCTCTTGCCTGAAAACAATATTGAAATCAGGGCATTTTTTTTACATATATACTAGGAAATACAAACTCCCACCCCCCCACCCCCGCAACTGAAGAGCATTAAAAAGTATCAGTTTAAAATAAAAAAAATACTATCAGTTGAGCAGAGTAAATTACTTGGTTTAATATTCTCATTTGCTTGGTAAATTCCAGGAAATGATATGAAAGTCTTTATATCAGGTTATCCTAAGTACGTTAAGTAACCATCAGCTTCCATTTTCCTCTGAGTGAGTGTAAGGTGAGGACATTAGTAATCAATTAGCAATAAAACGGGAGGCGGACGGGCCGAAACTCTGATTCAGAACTGGGGCCTCACGGTTCTGGGCTTCGGGGAAGGCCTGGGCCCTGGGGGGAGTCTGGGAACTCCCAGCGCGTACAGGTCATCTAGACTGGCTCTGTCCAACATGCTATGCATAGACACGGAAATACAAAGAAATGAGATCAAAGCACACACTTTTAAAATAAAAATTTAAAAACTGCTGCAGTCTCCAAATAGAATTTCTACAAAGGGGGAAAAAAAAAAAGACTGAGGCCATATAAGTAACACGAGTCCCCTGGATGCTCGGGGACGGCCGTGAGTCATCTAAAAATCAATTGCACTTCGCTTCTGGCCGGCTCTCATTCTCTGAGCTAACGCAGAAGTTTTCATCGGGGATGAAATTTCAGTTGCAGAGTTTGTACATGTCACGTAACTAGCAAGCAAGTTTCTAGGGGAGCAAAAATTAAGCCAGCCCTTAGGAAAATTTCTCATTTGGCTCTTCTTTTGACTATATTTTCAAAAACTAAAAACATATCAGTAAGAACAGTCGTGTTTTAATATTTTTGCATATCTCTTTAAGGTCTGGCTCAATAAAATACTACTAGGTTCTCATTTCTTATACATTCACTCTATTGCGATGTGAAAAATAAGTAAGCTTTGCACAGATATGTAATTGGAAAAGGAAAGGAAATTTTAATGCTATTAAAATCAGTGTGTTTTTTTAGATAGCTGTGGCTATTCTTCCTTGATGGTACACCAAAATGCAACAAGTGGTAATTACTTAAAAGTTAGTTGCTGTCTGCTAGCGTGGCTCAGTGGTTGAGCGTCAACCCATGAACCAATAGGTCACTGGTTCGATTCCCCCTCAGGGCACATGCCCAGTTTGCGGGCTTGATCCCCAGTGTGGGACGTGCAGGAGGCAGCTGATCCATGATTCTCTCTCATCACTGATTTTCCATCTCTTTCTCCCTCTCCTTTCCTCTCTAAAATCAATAAAATATAATTTAAAAAAAAAAACACAAAACAAAACCCTCTGACCTCCTCCAGAGATGTGACTATGGACACCGGCAATTCTGAAAGATCCCTGTAGACTGCACTAGGCCACAGGTGTCCTAAAATGAGGCTGGGAAAGCTGAGCAACTTCTACTAGCTCCACGCTCAGTCATCCCAGTGTCAAACCCCAAGTTCTCTCCACAACGCCACACGACAGAGCTGGGATGTGCTGAAACATATGGACACAACTGGGTTCTCAAAACATACTTGCGGGACTTGATTTCTTCCAGTTCTTTTGTGAGCTTCTCGTTTTTTTCCTGAGCCTCATGTAACCGGCGCTTCAGGTCACCAATCTCCTCTTGGGCTTCAGACTTAATATCGTTGGCAATGACCACCGCCGTCTGGAGATCGGCCTGAAACTGCCGCCACTCCGCAGACTCTTCCTATATTAAAAAACTGAATTTTTATTTCCAAAAGAGAGCAATAAAAACTTATTTAAAACAATAAAATGTGTTTATGATTAGGCTGGTGTAATGCACTGACCTAAATGATGATAAACTTCTTTTAAATCCCAGAGAATTGCTATTACCTATAGCGAGCAGGTAATGCGATTATTATGACTGAACTTCTTCTTAACGAGGAAAACATTTTCTAGCTATCTGTCCACTGAGGCATCAAACATTCAAAAAGTGCTCAATAAATATTCATGATGGTAAAGTCAAGCCTTCCTTACTCATTCAAGTTTCAAAGCAAGTCTTATGAAAATAAACATATCATCCAAAATGTGTAGCGCTTTACCTCTGAACAGCTCAAGAAGGTAGATAAATGGTGTGTGAACCATGCTGAAAAGTCATACAGTGAGACACTATAAATACCCTGACATCAAACACTAACAGGGGAAAAAAAATCAAAAGTAAAGGAAAAGGAAGAGGAAGCCAGAAGAAAAACACTGAACCTAATCTAGGCAGACACAGCCTTAGAGACAAAGAGAGGAGCTAAGGAACTGTACAGTCCACCGCTTCCCACAGCCACGGAGGATGCGGGTGTGGCTGGGGGAGCCTCCCCGGGACACCGCCTCCACCACAGCTTCAGCTGCCCACACCCAGCCCAGCGCCTGCCACCCCACAGCAATGCCCTGCCCCAGGAAGGCAGCGCAGCAACTGCGGCAGCAGCCAGACTATGATGTCAGCTCCTCCACCCTCGGCAGCAGAGGGCACTGCTGCTGGCAAGCTGACCAGACCCACGGCAGACTGGAATGGCTTGGTGTAGGGTACTTTCCAATCAACAGCTAATCACCTTTCCAAAAGATAACACTTGCTTCTTAAACCCATCTTTTTATAGAAATATTTTTATTGACTGAGAGAGGAAGGGAGAGGAAGAGAGATAGAAACATCAATGATGATGACAGAATCATGAATCGGCTGCCTCCTGCACGCCCCACACTGGGGATGGAGCCCCCAAACTGGGCCTGTGCCCTGACCGGGAATTGAACCGTGACCTCCTGGTTCATAGGTGGACGCTCCACCACTGGGCAACACCGGCCGGGCTTAAATCCATCTTTCTAAAATTACCACTAATGAGTTACTAGTACATTCTTCTCCCCAGAATCTAGTACCAGTCTCAATTTTAAATAATGGCATTTGCTTTCTGCTCCAAGCCTAGTGGAGTCAACATTATAACTGTATTTGAAGCTTATCGTGAACGGTAACATGGTCAATAACTACCCCAGGCTTAACGTTCAGAAGACTCTGTTTTCTAATAAGATAATCCATGAGGACTTTTCCTACCCGAAGCCTCCTGTGCAGTGTCTTGATTTCTCTTTCCATGTCGTGTTTTTGGTCCTGGAGTTTTTTAACCGTATCTGAAATGATCACAAAAGTTTAAATATTTATTCTTCGAGTTGCATTCAAAAGGAATAATAGAAAAGGAGGAGGTCATTCAATATGGCATTCAGAAACAGTCCTGCTGCCCACAGCCCTTTTATTTTAATACACAGCTTTAAAGAAAAAAGAAATGTTCACTCCAAGGATGAACCAGCATTACTTTCTAAAGAGAATGTCAAGTTTAAATCACAATTTCTGGAGTACTTCCTTCCTCAATGCCTTAATTTTGAAACAATCAGTTTAGTAAAATCAATTGTTAGAAACATGCATATTATTGGCTCACAAACAATCAAAACAACACTGACTGCTATTACAATGTGAACTTTTAATCACAAGGGTTATTAATGTAGAGTATTTATGCATAACTTACTTCATACACTGGAATAAATGGCAGGAAAGTGGTGAATTAATACAATTTTTACAAACTTAATTATGTAATACCATGGGGAACTGTTACCATTAATTCTAGGAGTCTTTTTACAAAATGAAAAATATATTTATAAAGTAAGTCAATACTTACTTCTTGCATAATATGAATTTTCTTCAAACAATTTCACTCACTGTAAACATGTAATGAGCACTAATAGGCAAGTGCCATACTAGATAGAGTGGGATGCGAGATGAAGGCGCAGCCAAGGCCAGAATCCTCCAGAACCAGAAATGTCTGGGGAGTCACATTCTATTGAGAGTTCTGCTCCAAAAGCCATGCTGAGGGGGAAAGGCCTTAGGAGGGTGCCCTGCTGGTGACCACTGCTTAATCAGTTCCATTCATTTCTTTTGTCCTTATCCTTTTCTCTTTGTCCTTATTCTCTTTCTCCACATTAATGGCCACAAAATGCACATAATCACGTCTAAAAAGATTATCCTTCTACACCCACACTACATGCCTATCATTGTCATGCCTGATTCCTTTTAAATAGAAGCGAAGCTGGCAGCCAGTGGACACATTTAGGAAGAATAAAGCGCACTAAGTGTCTCTAGGGAATTTGATTTAAAGTTACAAATCATAACTGTATTTTCACTTTGCAACAAAGAATTAAAAATGACAACAGGCCCGACCAGTGTGGCTCAATGGATTGAGCATCATCGCATGTACCAAGAGGTCACGGGGGCAGGCAGGAAGCAGCCGATAGATGTTTCTCTCATAAATGTTTCTCTTTCCCTCCCTCTCCTTTCCTCCCTCTAAAAACTCAATGAGAACATATTACCAACCACAAAAGTGACAACAGGCTTTTCCTCCTTAGAATCAAAGGAGTCTGTGCTTAATTTTTTGTCTTGAAAACAAGTTGAGCCCCATTCATGATCACGTGAAAGGACAGCATATGTCTTCAATACTGGAGCCTCTAAATCAGCGGTTCTCAACCTGTGGGTCGCGACCCCTTTGGGGGTCTAACGACCCTTTCACAGGGGTCGTTCGAAAATATATCCTGCATATCAGATATTTACATTACGATTCAAAACAGTAGCAAAATTACAGTTATGAAGTAGCAACGAAAATAATTTTATGGTTGGGGGTCACCACCACATGAGGAACTGTATGAAAGGGTCGCGGCATCAGGAAGGTTGAGAACCGCTGCTCTAAATGCAGGTTCCTTCGCTGTTTTCCTAGTGAGAGGGACACTGCCATCTACTGGCTTCACCTCAAAAGCAACATTAAACTCTATCACCAAAGAACAGAAGTGCTACTATGATCTCATTTTTAAATTACCTATAACTCAATTTTACAATCCTATTTCTTTTTAGAAATCAGGTAAATTGCTATTCTCATTGTTATTAGACCAATTTTGCTCTGAACAATTGTGGGCACTGTCCTGCCCACTTAATAGTGGGGCTCATCATCCTTTCATCACCAAGACAAACCAAGAACCATAACCAGGCCTCCACGCTGGCGCCAGGGACATGCCCGTCATTCCTGCAGGTGCTACTAGACAGCGACCATTGGCTCGGGATCAACCACGGACCCAGGGGTGTAAAATGATGAAAGTTCACAAGCAAACTTCCGTGCCCCCCAAATCCAAGAAACCTCAGGGTACTAACACCCAGCGCTCAGTCACTCTCCTATCTGGGCAAGGTGCGCCAATGGATAGCAGGTGCGATTTTAGAAGAAGGGAAAGAACACGAGTGACCAGTTAAAATACCGCGCCTCAGGGGCAGGGGAGAGAGGCAGGCAGCCCCTCTAGCCAGTAGGTCACAGCTTTATCCCCAAAGCCAGAATTCCTCATGTGCACAGAGGACACAGATGAGCTAGCTTCAAATGAACTATTGACTACTTTTATTTTTCAATTTTTATTTTACTCATTTTTATTTTTCTGGGAAAAAAGTGGATATAACTCCCCCCCTTGATTCTAAAAGTAATACGTGCTCACAATAAAATCTTAAAAGCAGAAAAGGGTAACAAAAATAGATTACCCATAATTAGATTTGGTATATATCCTTTCAGACTTCCTATGAGTTTATACTTTTTTAAAAAAATGGGATTATACCATTATACTACTTTAAAAGCCTTTCTACTTAGCAGGCTAGGGACACCGTTATCAATACATACAGATCTGTAGCACCATTTTGATGGCTGTGCTAGTATTCCATGGACTGGGTATGTCATGATTCGTTTTAGCAACTTCCTATGAACGAAGTCAGAATGGTTCTAAGTTTTGCTATACACACCATGAGTGCCTTCACACAACTGTTTACCTGAAGGTACATTTCCCGAAGTGGAGAAGTGATGAAGGACCATTTGAGACTGTTTAATAGCAGTTGCATGTTAAGTGTCATAAGGTCTACAACTTACTGTCAACTGGTTCAGTTAAACGCACATACACACAAAATATTGCAAAGTATTAAATTAAAATTAAATTGTCAAATCTCAATAGTTGGTGCTAACTATACCATTCTTGCAGTATTTCTGCATATTTGAACTTTTCATTTCAAAAAAATGGGAAGAGAAACTATATAGCTAAATAATTTATTCAGAATTTTCTTTAATTAAAATCCATATGTTAATGTAATTTTATTTTGGCAATGATTTATAAAGTTTTGGCACAGGAATCCCTATCATTTAACCTTTTCCAGTGATTACCACAAGGTGTCACTCTTTCCACATTCAAATCAAAAGTCTTACATGGGGAACCCAGGAATCAAACCAGCAACCTTTGGGTGCACGTGATGATGCCCAACCACGGAGCCACACCAGCCAGGGCTCTATCCCTAATTTTTCCCCAAACCCTTTAAGGATACACATCATGGTCCCTTAATCCTAAATATTTGGTGTATGGTTCCCAAGAATAGGGACATTCGTTTATAAGACACAGTACAGTTATCAAGTTCATAAATGTATACTGATATGTGTATCTAATCTACCATCCACATTCCAATTTTGTCATAATATCCATTATATCATTTCCCCCTACAGCACTGGACCCAGTCTAGGCACAGGCATTGCATTTAATTGTCCCGTCTCCTTAGCCTCCTTCACTCTAGAACTTTTCCATCACTCTGTCTTCTATGACACTGGCATATTTAGGAATTCAGCACCACCCACTCCTGTTCTTAGTAACACACGCCTCACTTTTTTGTCTAATGTTTCTCTATGATTAACTGAAGTTATGCCTCGGCCAGAATACAGCTTAGCTGATGTGTCCGATCTCTATGTGCTCCGGTCACTGACATGACCACCCTGTTAAAACGTAGCCCAATTTTCCCACTGCCTCATTCCTGTTGCTTCTTTTTCCTCACTTGCAACGTAATCAACAGTCTGTGGGAAGATTTTAAGATCATGAAAATTCTGTTTCATCAAACTTTCTCACAGAAATCTTTGTACTATTTTTGCAACTTTTTTATAAATCTGACATAACTGCAAAATAGTTCTTAAAAAGTTTTATTTTTAAAAAGCAACTTAAAATCTGAGTCTCAATTCCACCAGATTATAAAATCTCCATGGTAGGGAGGAAAATCAGACAAATAAACCTGCGATTTAGGCACAAGATTATGAAGGATCGATACTTTTTCGTCACGGTATACTTGCGATCACTAGAAATAGATACTAAATGGCTTTTCCTAAGATCTAGAAAATAATAACCCCATTAGCTTTTTGCTTAAATGATTTTCCATAATTAAGCACAGTTTTAATGTAATGCTTCCACTTAACAGTTCTTCAGAACAAAACACGGCAGCCTGAAAACTACCAGCTAATGTGTGGGCCAGACTTTACCACGTGCGTCTTTCTGCTCGCCACTGTGCCACTGCCACTGCCTTTGCAGTACTGCTGTCAGAAGGACTACTTGTTATTTTGTTACTGGCTGTAAACTATTCCCACGTGTTAAAGTGGGCAGGACGAAAAGGAACGAAATGTCCCGTCACTTACTCTCTAAATCAGAAATAATGAGGTTGTCATGAAGTTTCACGGCTCGATGCTGCTCGACTTCGTCTTCAAGTTCAAAAATGGTTTCTTTCATGTCGCTCCTTTCTGTCTCTTTTTCTTCTAGCTCTGATCTTAATTTTTCCAATGTCATGTTCAAGTCTTCTATTTGCTTTTTAGCTTCTTCTTGGAAGGCTCTGTATTCATCTTCTACCTGTATGAAATTGATGGTGCAGATTAGAAAAGTTAAGAGTTGTTTTACGATACATTTACATAAACAGTTTCAAAGGGAAGCTAAGTGCGGGTTGCTCTGCGTGAACTAAAATGACCTGCATAATAAATAACTGGTTAAAAGTATGAAGAAGCCGAAACCGGTTTGGCTCAGTGGATAGAGCGTCGGCCTGCGGACTGAAGGGTCCCAGGTTCGATTCCGGTCAAGGGCATGTACCTGGGTTGCGGGCACATCTCCAGTGGGAGATGTGCAGGAGGCAGCTGGTCGATGTTTCTCTCTCATCGATGTTTCTAACTCTCTACCTCTCTCCCTTCCTCTCTGTAAAAAATCAATAAAATATATTTAAAAAAAAAAAAAAAAAAGTATGAAGAAGCCTTCTACCACAGAACTTCATGTAATACACTTAGAATATTGTCACTACATCACTGACTGAAAGTATGTTGGCAAATCACTGAATTTAACTAAATTATGTAGGAGGAAATTCTGGAAATTTTCCCTCCTCCAAAGTTTGGGCTGAAGGCATGCATTCGATTAATGGTTAACATGTTCTCCCATAGGAACTGTCCCATTTGTGGTAGTTTCAGTGTCAAATTAATAATGAGAAACAAAAAAAATCCCCAAATACTGTCACACCTAAATTGTATCACTAAAAAAAATTAGGGTCTAAATTATGCAAATTTTGGCCAAAGACATACTAATGTTTCTTATTTAAAAATCATTGCACTAAAATAGGAAACAGAGAGTGAGGTAAATTAGATAAACTCATTCAGACAGACTGTAGACCAGCCATCAGGTGGGCAGAGAGCCCGGCCAGAGTGCCAGCACCCTGGGGCGCAGCTCTGAGTCCTCATACCTGAGCCGCATGTAAAACAAGGGACCTGCACTAATGACCTCAAAGGTGCCCCCGCAACAACCCACAGGCCTCTGGGAAAGGAGCCTCCACGCTCCAGAACATTGTTTAACTCACAACAGACTCTACTTGAAAACCTAAAACCACAACAGGATGAGCAGTGGCAGACACCACCTGGAATCCTGGCTCTCCATCTTTCTTACGCCAGAATACGTCACAGATGTCGATGGGAAATTGCCTGGCATGCTGCCCTGGGCGTACCAGAACCACGGACAGATTCTGGTGTCAGCTGAACTCCAGCCCCGGCAGGAAAACGGTAACGAAATGCAAGCGAGTGAAAGTGACATTATTATAAGAATACTCTTCGCCTGGCCGGTTTGGCTCAGTGGATAGAGTCGACCTTCGAACTGAAAGGTCCCAGGTTCAATTCCAGTCGAGGGCAGATGCCTGGGTTGTGGGCTCGATCCCCAGTCGGGGACTTGCAGGAGGCAGCCAATCCATGATTCTCTCATTGTGGATGTTTCTCTCTCTCTCTCCCTCTCCCTTCCTCTCTGAAATCAATAAAAAAATAAATATTTTTTAAAAAATACTTTTCATTCTACCCCAATAAAAGAAAACCATCCTCAAACTTTAAGCAGAGCAGCTGAAAATAAAGCTAATGAGCCCTGGCTAGCGTGCTAGGTGGTTAGCGCGTCGACCCATGCACCAAAGGGTCATGGGTTCGAGTGCCGGTCAAGGGCATGTACCTGGGTTGCAGGTTCAATCCCGGCCCCAGTTGGGGCAGGTGTGCAGGAGGCAACCACTCGATGTATCTCTCTCACATTGATGTTCTTTACCCCCTCTCGCCCCACCACCTCCCTCCCTCCCTCCCACACTCTCTATGGGAAAAAGTATCCTCGGGTGAGGAGGAACAGACAAAAGCAGCTAATGGCCCCATGCAGGCGATGCTGGCTCTCAGTGGGCATGGGCACGGGCATGCGCAGCTGCAGGAGGCTGCTCCGGGACACTGAGCTACTGAGGCAGTACCTTGGCAATGGCGTCCTGCAACCGGTTGGCATCATTCCGGGTGTGAGCCAGGTCCTCCTGCAGGCTGCTCGCCAAGGCCTCCGCTTTCTCCTTGTCCAGCCGGACGCTCTCCAGCAGGTCCTGGATGTCAGACTTGTCTCCCGAGTTGTGGATGGAGTACAGCTCCGCCACTTTCTGCTTCTCGTTCTCCAGCTGGGCCTTCAGGCGGTTCATCTCGATCTGGTCACTGGCCACGGTGGCCTTGTACTCCTCCAGCGTGGCTGCCAAGGCCGCCTTCCCCTTCTGCTCAGACTCCACGATCCGCTCCATGTGGTGGTTGCGCTCCTTGAGCGCCCCTATCATTTCCTGAGCCTCCTTGTTGTCTTGTTCTGCCATCTTCAAAGTATTACTTAGATGCTGCTGGACCCCCAGGAGCTGCTCCCGCTCAAAACGGGCGTTCTCTGCCAGATCCATGTACCGCTGCTCCAACTCCATGTAGCGGCCGCTCTTGACGTCTTCATCGATGACGTAGGAGATGTGGTGCTCGTCGAGGAGGGAGCGGAAATACTCGATCTGCCGGCTGAAGTGCTCCAGCTTGTCACTCTGCTGGCAGAGAGACTCCATCAGAATGACCTTCTCCTCGCCCAGCCGCTCGTTCTCGCTGTTGAGCTCCTGGGTGATCTGCTGCAGGTCCGCCAGCTCCTGCAGCGTGGCCTGCAGCTCCTCGCTCGTGCTGTGCTGGTTCTCCTCCATCTGGTGGATCCGCTCGGTCAGGCAAGCGACGGACACCTCGCTGGCATTGCCGCTGCTCCCCTTCCGGGAGCGCTCGGTGCTCGGCACGCCCTCCGACTCCGAGGACGAGGGCGCGTCCAGGGCGTCGTCACTCGAGGTGAGGGGCTGGTACACCTCGCTGGACTCGCTGTCCAGGTTGTCCATGGAGTTGCTGTGCTGATGGTCCATGAGGGTGTTCTCGTCCTGACTCAGAAGGTCCTCCACTGAGCCCGGGGCAGAGCCTTCCACCGAGGAGGTCAGCGTCCCGCCCCCGTCGCTCTGGTTCCCAGGGGTGATTTCTGGGCTCAGGGACTGGTAGCCGAACAGCTTTTCCGAGTTGTCCAGCCTCTGCTCGAGGGAGAAGCCCAGGGCGTTCAGCCTGTCCTTCAACATCCTGTTCTCGTTCTTCAGCTGGTTGAGCTCCTCGCGGATGGCAGTGTTCTGCTCCTGCAGCTGCAGCAACGTGGACTCCACGTCGGTGGGCTGGTGAGCCATCATGGCCTCCTTCTCCTCGCATTTCTCCTCCCCCTCGGCCGGGTCCTCGTTCATGCCCAGCTGAGCGCGCATGTCGCGGAGCTCGCTCCTCAAATGGAAGATCTCCGCGTCTTTGGTGGTCGCCAGCGAGAGGAGGTCTTTCACTTTGGCCTCCAGGGCAGCTTTGTCGCTGATCTGATTGTCCGACTTCGACTTGCTCATGCGGACGTCACATTCCGCCGCCGTGCGACTGCGGGAGCGCTTGGGCAGGGCCGCGTCGCCGGCTCCCTGGCCTGCGGAAGGCAGCTTTTTGCTCGGGTTGAGCCGGGGACGCTCACGCAACCTCTCTCTGGTGGAGCCGGATTCTTTGCTACCTGTGGATGTGCTACGCTTGGTTGAAGAAGTTGTGCCTGCATGTTTAAAACAAAGAATTTAAGGCAAAAATATCAGTGATAAAAAGGCACACAGTTTACTTATGCCCCAGGTCTAATGAGACGAAATCTAGGCATCTACACGCTGGTTTCAGAGAGAGGAAGGGAGTGGGAAGGAGAGACAGAAACACCAACGGTGAGAGAGAATAATCGATCAGCTGCCTCCTCCCACAAACACTTAGGAAATAAATAAGCTTTTTTTTTTTTTGCTGTGAAAAATACTCTCTAGACCTAATCAATGAGTGTTTTTAAAGCACCTATTAGTTCTCTGTGTGGCTGCACCAGGCCACAGAGGTAATAAGGAACAAAAGAGCGACGTGCTGCAGGAAGATGGTCGGTACCTTGCCAGGTCTCAGGAGCATGGAGGGAAGGGAACTGGCGGCCACAGGGCAGGCAGGGGATGAGCAGGCAGAGCGAGCACGGCCCATAAAAAGGAAGATGAGGCCACACAGGTGACAAGAGCAGCAGGGGAGGTTTCTACAGAGACCTGACTGTCCGGGAGAGTTCAGGGGTCGCAGAGGTCAACCAATGCTCGTGAGCAGGGAAGAGACACAGGAGAGAGCCCCGCTAGGGGAACATGAGAGGCAGAGCAGGGAGATGAAGGAAGCCCTACACTCAGGGAGCAAGGTCAGTATCTCTGTAAAAACACAGACAGGATCATAAATCAGCAACAGATTCAAAGGCACAAGTAACAGAATGGGGAGGAACCACTGCAAAGGGAGGCAACAGATTCAAAGGCACAAGTAACAGAATGGGGAGGAACCACCGCAAAGGGAGGCCGAAGAGGAAAAGGACTGAGGTGACACTGTCCCCCAATACTATTTCCCTGCCCCACTTCTGTAAGTCAGACCATCACCTTCTTCACTAAACCAGAGAGCAGGCTGAGAGAGAAAAGGTCTGCGCACCAGGAGAGCCGGAGAGGAGGAGCCAGCACTGAGCATGTCCCAAAGGAAAGGCGGAAAGAAGCAAGAGGAAAGGACAGGCAGAGGAAGAGAAGCTTCCCCTGGGGCTGCTGACCAGGGAGCAGGAGAGGATCTGAGTGGACGGACACAGGCACTGCAAGGCCCATCAGTCCACCTGTGCAGATGCCTGAAATTCTCCATTAGCCGGAACCCCGAATGCCTACCCCGCCTCGTCACACAAGGGGGCCGAGCTCTGGGCCGAGCGCCGCGCCTACCTGTGCTCATCTTGGATTTGTTCTCCACGGTGGTCATGGCGGGGGCCGAGGCTGAAGACGCTGTGGAAGGGCAGGTGCTTTTCTTCCCTTTGACACCATTAGTCACGGTCACCCCTCCAGCCATTCCAGCTAAAAGGTCATCACTGCTCTTCGTCTGCAAGCAACATAAAATCAAAATAAGTTGACAAGATGAAGCAAGATTAAATAATATTTTCAGACTAAATAAAGTTCTTGCCTTAGATGGCGTTCTATAAAGGCTTTCTAACAGTTAGCAAGCGGTTTATCATACTGTGCAACACAAACAGAATTTCTCAACGGGTTTCTAAACAATCACACTTCTCTCTAAAATAAAGAAATCGTATATGTAATCGCGTATGTAAAATCGTGAATGTTATGAAAGCCCACTGCGTGCCCACGGGTGCCAGCCTCATGAGGGATGAGGGACAGTGAAGACATCCTCCTGTTCCCCTTTCATCTAGGACATGACTTATGAACAAAGATCAGTGAGTGATACCACATGGGCATCTCAGGAAAGTTCTATCATGCCACAGGAAGTACCATCCTGCAATTTCTAGAGAGAAATATCAATGAGAATCAGGAATAATCTGCATGCTCTAAAATGATTCAACAATGAATTCAATACCTAAAAAAAGTATTCTGAAATGTTTTCTTACCTTATCAAATTTTTAGTAGTCTAATTTAAGCCCAAACTGAAAGATTTTTTTTAGAGGCCTGGATAATATATAAATAAAAACTAGATACTTTATGGTTAGAGTGAGGGTTAGTCAGTCTAAATGATCATACTACTTGAGAAAGACCATTTGTAACATTCATTTATATTTTATAAAGATGAATGAAAAAGTATGAGCTTTTCAGAAAAAAACCCCACAAGCACTCTGAAATCTGTTTTTCCTTTTCCCGGAAGCGAGAGAGAACACAGCATTGTTCTTGTTTCCTCAATAAAGAAAACAAACAGTTCGGGGCAACTAAGGTGAAGGCACAAGTCAGTCAACTGATTGATGTGGTTTTCTATCTGGAACCATGCTTCCCCTTAGATCATTATAATTCATTCATTTCTACAAATTAAAATGGTTCATCAGTCAAACAATTTCTAACGTCTCCTCCAATTCTACATGTCAGTGACTCCAGATGGAATAGATTCTGTTCTCATCATTCAATTATGAAAACTATTCATAGTAGTGCCATTCGGTAGGTCAATCTGTCTTACTAAAGAGGCAGAAAAAGGATTAATGTTTTAAATGCATTAATCAGAAATTAGATTTGGTATTTAGGGTTGTCATATTATGAAAAATCTAGGCTATATAATAAGGGAGGGGGGGTGCATGAGTCATTAAGGATTGTTCATATTCTTTAAGATTAGATCTGTTGCCCTGGCTGGTTTGGCTCAGTGGATAGAGTGTCGGCCTTCGGACTAAAGGGTCCCAGGTTCGATTCCAGTCAAGGGCACATGCTTGGGTTGCGGGCTCGATCCCCAGTGTGGGGCATGCAGGAGGCAGCCGATCCATGATTCTCTCTCATCATCGATGTTTCTCTCTCTCCCTCTCCCCTCCTCTCTGAAATCAATAAAAATGTATTAAAAAAAAGACTAGTTCTGTTAATAAAACTGGTCACTGATTGGAGGGTGGACATACAATACAGTGTACAGATGACAGGTTATAGAATTGTGCACCGTGAAACCTGTATAACTTTGTTAATCTGTGTCACCCAAATCACACTGTTAACTCATCTTACACTAAAAAGATGTGATCACAAATAATCATCAAGAGTCATCAGTTATTTAGATAGATTCTAACGGAAGTAACTGCAGCTTATTAATTCCCAAATATCAACTTTTAGAAACAAGTATTCCCATCAGTACAGTGAGTGAGTATCTTCCTTCTCCCAGGATGAACATGCGCACCGAGCACTGTGTGAAACCTGAGAAGTGTAGGCATGCAGGACACCATCTCTACATGGAAAACCAGATTTTCTACTGGCTGTGACAAGGAATGAGGGATCCCACACCCCAGGACAGATGCCACAGCTGTTGGACAAATTCCCCAAAACTCACTGGAAATAGCAGTAGTGCTTCATTTTATTATTTGCAAAAGCTGCAATCAGCAGTGAGACGCTCTGGATCAAAGAGTCCTTTCCTGCACCACTCAGGTAGGTCTAGCCCAAACGATATTCGAAAAATAGGTGTTAATTCTGACTCACTCACACCGGACAGACACAATAATGTGGGTGTCCACATGAGAGAATGAGTAGGTGTGCGTGTTTAAACACTTACAAGCCAAATGCTTCATTCATTTGGTTCGTCACCAATGCTCCATCAGTTACAGGAGTTCAAGTTGTGGGGCGGTAGCTATATGCTAGAGAACCACGTGAAATCTGAAAACTTAGAAACATAAAATAACACTGAAGTTTGTGGGTCTCCAAGTCTTTTTAGTTTTTTTTTTTAACTTTTCTGTTCATTGTCAGTTTTCTTCTTTACTTCAGTTTCTACTCAAGACTTTTTCCTCCTCTCCGAAGTAAAAGCAATTGCTCCAGTCTAGGTGAGGTGCCCCAAATAGCTTCACCTCCTCTCTGACCCTCCCCACTGCTCACACACAGAACTCACTCACACAAACCAGCCCCCACAGCAGGGCCACGATCGGGACAGCTGGCAGGTGCTGGCACACAGCAGGCACACGGTTCTGCTTTACAATGAAAAGTACTCACTGTTCAAGACCGAGCTACTTGCAACTCGGATCCCAGCCTCAGACCTGCCCCGCCTGCCCCGCGCACACTCCACTGTGAACCTCAGAGACGCTGCTGCCACTGATACGGAGGCAGCGAAGGCAGCGGGCAAACCCAAAGCCGGGGTTCCAACCTGTTCTTCCAGTCACGTAAGTCACAGGTCACACGGGCGCTCCACGCCGAAGGCAGCCCCACAAACCGAGTAACCAGTTAGGCCAGGAAACGCCAGCATCTCCCACGAAGGAAAGCATTCATTCCTGGTGCTGGTTCAGACTAACGGACGCGGGCAGAGGAGAGGCCACGTGGGGACCCGGCAGCTCACCGGGCGGCAGCAAGGAGAGGGTCTGGGGCATGGCCTAGCCCCGGGGGGAAGGCTGGGCTTGGTGTCCAGCCTGGTGGAGACGACCAGCATTTCCTGCTGCTCTTTCCACCGCAAGGAAGCCCCTCGCCAGCTGTTCCTGGAGGTGCTAATAATAACCAGAGCCCGGCCCGGACAACAGGCTTCCAGGGACCATGTTCCAGGCGGGCGGGGCTCCTCCCGTCAGGCTGGGGAGACTCTCCAGGTTTCCTCCACGGAGTCAAAGCCCAGACACCACATCCCTCCAACAAACAGGCAAAGAACGGACAGTGACCTCCGGGCGGGGAGAGGCTGAAGACGCGACGTGGGCTCTGCGATGGCACAGATGTGCCTGGAGCCACCCTGTCCCTGGGACCGTCAAACCAACAGACACTGAGCCGAGTGTCTAGAGCAAACCGCTCACTGCCGCCACCACTAAGCCCCGACCACGGCTCTGAACCACCTGTCTTCTCCTGAAACCCACAATCGAAGGCAGCGCTTTTCAACCTCTTTCACCTCACGGCACACACAGAAACTAGTTACTAAAATCCTGCAGCACATCAAATAACATATTTTTTGTTCTGACAAAAAAATAAGTATTAATTAAAATTAATTGGCTATTGTTGTGTTGGCTGTTGTCATTTTCATTTTTTTATTTGACCACCTAAGGGAAAAGAGGCCGGTGCCTGGCTGAACAGTCTGGTATTCATGTTTTAAAAGCCCTTGCGGCACGCTGTTGAGGATCGCTGATCTAATGAATCACTGTCCTAAATGATAACAGGAACCAAGCCAGCTTATACAGGAGTGTAAAGAAAATTACTGTCACCCAATTCTAACTAGAACTAATGCTGGGTCAGTTGTCGGAAAGTGACAGTTGCGGTGTGTGGGGGTGGGGTGGGAATGAAAGCCCTGCCCCGGGTCCCAGGAATGTTGCTGCGGGTCATCCTGTAAGACGAGGCATAAACCTCATGGCTAGAAACCATACTTTCCTCCTGAAACTGCTGACCGTTTCCCTGCTTTCCCAGGGCGTCTGATCTTTCCGTGTGTATGTTGGTGATTCTGTAGGTGACTCACCTCCATCCATTACACAAACTCCTCCAGCTCACACCGGCAGAGAGCTCAATGATTTTTTTATTTGACCACCTAAGGGAAAAGAGGTTGGTGCCCGGCTCAATGATTTGGTTCATGAATAAGCCGACTATTTGGTTTCATTCATAGAGACAGACCATCCACACAGATGGAGTCCACCAGACTGTGAACTCTCTTCAAAGGCTATGTGTTCCCAGCACCAGTAGAGGGCGAACCCTAAGTAATGCTTCTCGAATAAATCAAACATCCTATTAAGAGCCGCGCCTCCTGAAATCACGTGCTCAAACATCGCACAGAATACCTTTGACAACGCTGCTGCTGGTCCAGGTTTTACGAGTTTGCCGCCTGCAGATGCTGAGGAACTGTTTTCAGGTTTAGTTTTTTCTACCGTTTGCGTTTTGCTTATCCCAGACACCTTAGGCACTGAGCCGACACTCCTGCTTGCTTTCTTCATTCTGGGCTGCCTCTTCGTGATACATTTACAAGCGAATCTGTGGAAAGAAATGGCATACTGAGAACAAAACTGGAAGAAGGCCCCTGAGAAATTTACTTTTGAAGAATTTTACTATGTGATAAATAAAAATGATCGAAAGCTAGATGCAGCTACAGAAAATAAAAGTGAAACATTCTTAGACTTATTAATGCCCCCTTATTTGCAAGGCTCCCTTCTTGAACATGATGAATTTGGCATGATTCTAATTTAATGTACTTCATGTGACTTCTGGTGATGTCAGTACAGGAAAGGCTCCGTGTTGTCCCCGGTCTCAGCACAGCACAGCTGCACGTGGTCAGGAGGGCTGGGCAAGCTCCGGCTTTGACACACGAGCTGTGCGGCCTGTGTGGCCGTGGGCAAGTCACTCAAATCACTTCATCGCTTCCTGTCTTTGCACCTCTGTTTCCTCTCCTCTCAGGAGGAGCTGGTGAGCCGAACCCATAGAGTCCTCCCACAAAAGAGCGTGCACAGTGCGGAAAACAACAGGACTCCTGACACACTCACTCCAGAAGCTACTTCACCAGGCTCAAGTGCCAGAAAAACAGTGCCAGAAGCTAAGATGAGGGCCGACAATTTATTTCGGTGATGCAGACTCCACCCTCCCAAACCATCCACCCAGGAAAACATACCAATCGAGCTTCAGAAATAAGGCCAAAAGGACCTGCAGAATTCCTCTTCGCTGCCATTGTATGTCTGACCAAATCGGGAACCTTTCTGAAATCTCAGCTTTCTCATAAGTAAAACGGGTTGGTAATCAGACCACCCACCTTAAAAGAATGTTGCGAGGATGAACTAAAATAATAAACCGCGAATGCTTAGCAGGGTGGCAGCCCACAGTAAAGACGGAGTCGATGTAAGCGATCATCATTTCTAGAGCACACACCACATGCCCCGAGTATGACTAACGCCCATTAAAATAAAACAGCAACTCAAAAGACACTTTGTGAGAGGGACTCCTTATAATAAGAAGTGACTGGAGATTGTTTTTACTTACTACTTACATTAAATTACACACTGCGGTGCGCAGATGTCAACAAGCAGCACTAGCTTCTGGTTCTTTCCCACTGAAAATTACATAGCAGGAAATACTGAAAATACATGGTAGGGAATTCACTAGAACAATAATCAGGAGACCTGGGCTGTGGTCAGGCCTGACGCCTGGCTGTGGGCGAGTCATGCTAACTCTGAGCCTCGGTTGTAAGGCGAGCAGGAGCTGTTAGGATCTTTCTTTCAGAAAGTCAAAAAGGCCATTTTACAATCTGTGCTTCAGAACCAGAAGTCAAACCATTTTTAAAAAAAGAAATTGCTTATTAGTTACGATTGTTTATGCCTATTAATATCTCATTAAAAATCCAAAAAGGGTTTTGACCCAAACAATCTAAATACATTTATCTCTATAATTTCACAAACTTCATATTTAAGACGTAGGGATCATGTTAAAATTGTAAACTAAGAACAGACTTAAAACACTGAGAAGGAATCACATAGTCAAGGGAAAACCAACATTTAGCAAATTAGCTACATTAGAGTCAGTAAATCAATGTTGCTAAATGAATCAAAACCAATACCCAATCTGGTAAAAGCACATGTTCTACAAAAACCAAACAGCCCGGCCAGTATGGCTCAATGGTTGAGCGTCGACCCATGAACCAGGAGGTCACAGTTCGATTCCCAGTCAGGGCTGGGCTTCAGGTTCGATCCCCTCTCCCTCTCTCTGAAATCAACAAAAACATGTTTTTTAAAAAGTTGAAAAGATTCGCCGAAACCGGTTTGGCTCGGTGGATAGAGCGTCCGCCTGCGGACTGAAAGGTCCCAGGTTCGATTCCAGTCAAGGGCATGTACCTGGGTTGCAGGCCCATCCCCAGTAGGAGATGTGCAGGAGGCAGCTGATCGATGTTTCTCTCTCATCGATGTTTCTAACTCTCTATCTCTCTCCCTTCCTCTCTGTAAAAAATCAATAAAATATATTTTAAAAAAAAGT